GTGGAAGACCAGAAGGTGTTTTGTTCACTGTGCAACTTGTAGAAGCAAGTGACAGGTGGTGGTGATTAACTGATGGCCCTGGGGAAGCAGACTGAGTGAGTGCATCAGAAGTGTGGGCTACTGACAGAAAAGGAAGGGGCGTGGGGGGCCACCTCGAGTCTGAAGGGGGAGCACTGAGCATTACTCCCACAGCATGGGGACGGAGGAGTCTTAGCTGTGGTTGGAGTTCAGGACAGGCCTGGAGACTACATTCCAGGAAGTGGCTGGGGTGAGAGCAAGCCTGGAACCCCAGGGGTGTGCACGCCACTTCTGCTAACAGACTACCTCCGACTCCAGGAGGATGCTCCGCTTCTCTTTGCTCCCGGATTTGGTCCCTTTCCCCTTGGCTGGCTTCTGCTCAGGGATGGATGCCTCTGGATTGGGAGGAGGAGCCGGAGTCCACAGACAAGACCTCTGACACCACCCGGCCTCCCCAGAGAGAATGGGGTGGGGTGAGGCAGACTCCCCAGACTCTGACAGCTTTGGGTTTGGGTGCAATAGAAGCAGTGGGAGGGGGCCCAGCTAGGTGGGTGGGTTCCTTTGAGGGCAGGGCCACAGAAGTCCAGCCCAGGGAAATGAGGGATGGAGGGTGGTGGGTCAGGATGTCCCCGCCAGGAGGGGCTTTCCAATCATATCACACTGTCAAGAAACAAGGCCCAGAGGAGCATAACAAGAAGGCTAGCTCAAGTCATGCAAGGCCGAGCCAGACCCAGAAAGGGCCTCCTGTCTCCGCCTTCCTCCGCCCCATGCAGGGCTGGCAGAGGGGCACCACACTTACTCCCTTTGCCTGCCTTTGACGCATCTTCTTTCTTAGGGGCTCCTTGCGTGGGCGACTGGCCAGACCCTGACTTCTCCTCTTTCTTGACCATTTCCTGTGGAGGATGTTAGAAGAGCCATGAAAGGCCTCCCTCCCCAGGCATAGGCAGCAGGTGTGGGAAGAGGCCGTGGTTGCTCCAGTGTCACGGGGTGGGCCTCCAAAGTCCCCTCATGGCTTCCTTCCCTCCACCCCGAGCTGCACACTGTGGAAGCGGCCTCCCTCCCCCTTCTAGCACCCAAGGCTCTCTTTCCCACAGCACACCCACCCCTGACTTCTCCTTTTTCTTGCCCAGGCTCTTGGGAGTTTTCATAGGCGGCATCTTGTCTGTCTTCTCTGACAGTGCGGCACTGCTGGCACCTATCACCGGATTCTTGTCACGGTCGGTTTTGGAGTCCCCGTGTCGAGAGGAGGAAGGCTGTGTTCACAAATGAGAAGGGATGGAGGAAGAAGCCCGTGCCCCTTCCCCAGTGGGAAGGGAGTGAGGGGAAGCCTGGGCTCTGGGTAGCAGTGGGCTGGCAACAACCACCCTCAAGCTCCCTGACTAAATGCAAAAGTCCTATGTGTGGGACTCCACTGGGGTGAAGAGCTGTTGGAAAAAACCACAGAGGAGCCTGGGGGTGAGCTGAGGAAGAGAAAAACAGTAGCTAACTTTTACCGAGCTAAATGCCAAGCACTGTTCTCAATGCAAAACATGAATTAATTCATTTAATCCTCTCAACAACCCTATGAGGTAGCTACAATTATCATCCCCACTTCACAGATGAGAAAACTGAGGCACAGGGAGGTTAAGTAACACGCCCAACGTCACAAACTGGCACGAGGACGAGTCGGGTTTTAAATTCCGTCAGTTTAAATCTTGAGTCCATTTAGCAAACGTTTGCGAGAAAGACTCACGAGAGAGGGAGGGAGGACGGAGGTTAGCAGGCATGGACAGCTGGCTGAGAGACGGCGCGGTCTCGGGCCCGCCCGGTTAGTTGGCTCCTTACCGATCGTAATCGCTCCT